TACAAAAAAGAGACACGTGGCAGCAGAAGACCCACCCGGTGTTTTTCACCGGGTGTAGCATCGAACAAATCTTTGTCTTTGTTCTCATCAGCCATTCTCGCCTCGAAAGCTGCCAACTTAAATATATAATTCTGAACAGTTTCTGCTAGCTTTTGTGGAGAAGAACTCCTGTAAATCGTAAATAAATTGTGGGAGTAGTTTATGTTCATAAATTTGTCTATTATTTTTCAATTGTCATCATGATTTCCTTGTTTTGTGGCGCGCGGATTAACGGATACATTTTATCCAAATTTCCAAAATATAAAATAAAAATCTCAATTGTGTCCATTTATCTGTAATTTCCCGAATTCTGTCCAATTAGCTGTAATTTCCTTATTTTCATTTATATAAAAATTGTTCATTTCATCTTCATATAATAATATCTGAAATGTGAGTCCAACATTTTTGGTTGGATTAGGATTTAGCAATAAAAAATAAAAAATAAACACAAGGATGGAAACCAGGCAGCATCTGTGAGCATAAAACATGTACTGAGTTGGCATATTTTCCATTATATATACACACACCTTTGAGGGTTACTGCAGCAGTTGTTCATCTCATGGTTTACATAACCGAACCCTCTAAAACTTTGTTTCAAAAATTCTTGCACAAAAACCCGAGACTGAGACGAGAGAGTTCGTTTTAATACTCGCAGATACCTTTTCACATATACTGGGGCACTGGAGTAGATAGTGAAGGAAATTCAATAAGCACAAAAGTTACGGTGGGCCCTTTCTGAATCCAATTCTCAACAACTCGGTGTAAAGAAGTTCGTTCCAAGTGTCCGGCACTCCCGGTAGGCACCAGTGGCTGCAATCCTGTGGAGCCTCGGCTGGTGTTCCTGGTTCTCGGTTGCTTGACGGGTGACCATCTTTTCTAAACTCCGTCAAATATGTTATATTCAAAAAATGAACTCTTTTCGTTGCATTCCTCATTTCCTCGACCGCCTCTTGAATAAATAAATTGTTTAGCGGCTCGGGTTCCAGCTTCGATAAGTCTGTTTCTGGTTCTTTACTTATGTTGCAATATCCCCCTTTATTCCATTCTCCATCCCTGCAATTTTTATACAACTCATATTAAGCATTTATTAAAACAGTCTGGATCAACCAAATTCTATTAATTTAACGAAATAATTTTTAGCACATCGCCTTCGAGTTGCGACCGAGAGAATATATTATTTAAATGAGGTTACTAATTTATCAGCGTATTAATTTATCGAGGTTCTACTATATATGTTTTCGGTATTACCTGAAATGCACCGGTGAGTAGCTCCGAAAGAATATATTAGTTTTCCCATTCTCCGAATTTTGTGCCACCCATTGTTTCAAAGGGTCGAGTGATCTTCGAAACGCTTCCATTGCATCCATCGTCATGTTAACATGCTCCCCTTCCTGAAAATAGTGTCCCCTAATCCATAAAAAAAAAAAAAAAAAAAAAAACACAATGATAAGCAAATAACAAATACATACATACATATATATTGATTAAATGCGTATGACTTGGAATAATTAAGGCCGTACGATTTGATTGTCTTGTCTTGATTCCACCAATGACCGGCGCTGAATACAAGAACATCTGATCCGAGCCATTTACCAAAGTACCAGTGGAGTCGATCGATCCTAATCACACCCTTGACTTCTTTGGGTGCGTTTGGAGGCGGGCGATCTGCGATTACAAGGTAAGGCATTCTGTAATACTCTACCGTGAGATTGAATTCTTGAAATTTCATCGATAGAAAGCCTTTGTGCTTTGTGATTGGGTTCCCGTTTTCTTCGTATATTGTGGATTGATTAGAAACTCCTTGTGCCAGCATGCATACTAGAGACTCCCATTGGTTTCTGCCAATTGAGTCGCCCGCAAATACTATTCTTCCGTTCCGGCTTCGTTCAAGGAAATCTTTTGCATCGAATCTGCATGTTTTGTTTTCAGGAAATATATATTGAGCCAAATTATAGTACTGTTTGACAAACAAATAGAGAAAGTGAAACATGTTTTCTTTTAAACATAAATAGTTGCTTTGCAAGTTAAAAATCATTGTGCTAAGTGCTAACTATTTGAAGTCTTGGTGTTTGCAAAACTTTTGAAAAGTGATTATGAGCTTTTTTTGGTTCAAAAGCACTTTTAGTCCAGCCCAATCGAAAAATCGTCACATCCGTAAATTATAACATAATTTAATCTTAAGCAAATAAATTAATAGATCTAGATACATCGGACTGCATACCAAGAACAATAATCATCATTCTCAATGACATTGTAACGAGTAAAGTATTTGCAACCATATTTAAAACCTAAACAGCACATGCAAGCCCTTAAAAAAATAATAGTTTAAAAAGGAGAGAGAGAGAGAGAGAGAGAGAACTAAACGTATAAATAAAGAAACGTAGAAGTTTTAATGAACCCACCCCTATAAATTTGGATCTATCTTCTGCAAATATAGTGTTGTGATCGTGCTAATTTAATAGTAATTTTAGAATTCATCCAAAAAATAAAATAAAGATTTAAAAAAAAAATTCCATAAGGAAGTTTATGAACATGTAATCTGGATCATTCATACCTAGGAAGATCACATGATTGGGGCTGCCATCGCCACTTCTGGTAATCCAAATTCTTTCTACCGTTCTGTTGGCATCGAAAACCCGGGTCGAGAAACGGGCAATTTTCCGAGTATGCACTAGGGGGTTGACTTTCATCAAAAGTCCACCTTCCGAAAGAGTAATCGCAAGCGGGATTTGGAGGAAGCTTCTTGGGTGGGATTGAGAGCAAGAAACCAATGTTGAAGAGAGAGGTTGGCTCGAATGGCCTAAGGATGTAGTAGCCAACAATGGAGGTGAGGAATAACGAGAAAATTATGAATATGTGGTTGACTTTTTTGGGGATTGAAGGATGAGAGAGAAAGAAGAGCTTTTGTTGCATGGAGGGCAGATGATAAGGGTTCAAGAAGAAGAAGAAGAAGAAGAAGAAGAAGAACAAGTCTTTTAACACGGAATTTATGGCTGTCAAATAATTAAGGTAACTGAAACTATTTTTAAGGGAGTAATTGTTTATTAATCGCCCTATTAATCGCATGTGGATCTTATATAGGGTTTTATTGAAATATCCTAATCAATATCATTAATGTCATTATTATTGCTTGAATTAATATTATTCTTTTTTTCTTATTTAGTTATTTATTATGTAACATACTTCTAATTGGACATAACGTATTGAATAAATTGTTTTCAATTCGATTGTTCCACTTTTTATATCAACTTTCTTGCATCACCTTTTATACCCATAACATGTATTTATTACATAAATATATTAATATTTTAGTAAAAAGTTCTCACATTTACGTATTGATTATTGTATTAGTATAAATATCCGAAGAAAATATTTTTGCCCTCCAACATAGCCATAAGGTAAATTAAATAACATATATATATATATATATATATATATATATATATATATATATATATATATATATATATATATATATATATATATATATATATATATATATATATATATATATATATATATATATATATATATATATATATATATATATATATATATATATATATATATATATATATATATATATATATATATATATATATATATATATATATGTATATATAAAAATATATATAAAAATAAAAAAAATATCACTATGTTGTGAGAGAGAGAGAGAGAGAGAGAGATATAGAGATATAGAGAACGAGTTAAATCTTGAGAAATATATATAAATGTGCACGCACACGCACACACATTTGTACATATGTATACATTTTTACACACCCATAAAGGTAGGAGAAAAGAAAAATAAAGAGAGATAGAGATATATATAGATATCACAAAATCTCTCTATCTCTCGCGCACCGCACAACACATTTCTGTGACTTTCAGTCTCTCGCTCTCTCTCTCTCTCACACGCACGTCACCGCGCGAAGTGTGT